TCCGCTCCCATGCGACACTGCTCGCATGAGAACGGAACTCGGAAGCCGGATGCAGACGTGGACACAGGAGGCTCTCGCTGCGATCGCAGCGAGGGGACTTCGCTGGATCGCAGGAGAAGGCAAGGGACGCCGCTGTGCTGCTCTGCAAGAACCTGGAGCATTAACCCCAAGTGTGACTCGGGGATACCGCTCCTGGCAGCGAATTTTTACCCCGAGTCACACTCGGGATTACCGCTAGCCAGGTTAAAAAAAAAATTAAATGAAAAAGCAGGACTATTCATCCAAGAACTTGCATGAGAGCAACTAATCTAAAACAGATATAAGGCAATCATATTAGAAGTGAAAATTTTTTTGTGAGATCCAAAATAAAAGGATCTGAAAGTAGGCAATTTTCTTCAAGCAATTTCACTGAATGATGGTGCTAAAACAGCTAAAAGCTTTTCACCCTAGATTAGATAAGGCATTCCTGCCTTTTAATGCTTGCTTCCTGTTCTCATCCTCTCTACTTCTGAAGAACCTAAGCTTTAAAAAGCCCACAGTTCATTCCCCTTTCTTTCCTTCACATCCTGTTTTTTCTATATATCTATTTCATTTTTATGGAATACCTTAAAAAAAAAAAACCTAGTCAGCAAAGGTCTCCTTTCCTTCCATTGCTTTTAGATTCTCTTCACAAATCATATATTTATTTTTTACTAAAAACTAAAATACTGCCACAGCATTACCTAAGTCTCTTTCCAATGACATAACAGTACTGGTATCACATTCAAAATATTCACCTCTGCTGATATTTAGGTAGAAATATTGTCTTTCATTCAATCTCTCAATGCTTGCTCTTTTTTTAACATAGCTGTAAAGAATTTGCTCCTAAAGCAATCAGTCAAATTATGATGATAAAAAAATAATAAATTTGATCAAATAAAGAAGTCTTGCAAAAGAAATTATGGTGACTTCAGTACAAGACTGGCAATTGAAATAGCTCATAGCATAACATCACAATCAAAGACAGGGAATAGGATTCTTCCTATGAATTCAAAGAAAAGAGGTTGAGTAAAACTCTGCAATAATGGAGAACCAGCAGATCTTTGACAATTTTTACTAATGCAGGCATGTTAATGTAAATGACACAGGCCATTTCCAGAAATGGAAGTTTTATTTATTTTTCCTTGCCTTGACTTGATATGATTACTTGACTGGAGCTGAAGTCCTCCATACCTCTGTGCTCCACATTCCCTCAAATTCTTTGCACTGTGCACCTCATTATTCTACCTGCTTCTACATGGTTTCCTGCTTTCAATTATTGAATCCCTATCTGCTATCTTCTGGTAAACTTAGAAAACTTGAAAAGCAAAGAAACCTTGTTGACAACAGAGGGAGAGAAGACTCCCATTCTCCAAAAATTGCCAGCAATTATAATTTTCTGTCAGGAGAGATTACTTTCAGCATTTTTTTTTTTACCCTTCTTTCCATACATGTTCAGTTGGGAATACAAATCCACCTCCTGGTCATTAAAATTTAGTTTGTGTCTGATTTCATAATGTCAACATGTATTTGGGATAAAAGTTGGGCAAATGGTTTCAATTCTGCACTTCAAGAAAAATATTGTTGTGAAAGGTAGCTATACTTTGATATGAATCTTTCTGGCAAACTTGACAACCTCTTCAGTTTCTCATGCTGATGCTACTCCAAAATTGAAAATACAAGGCTTGCTCATTTAATTCATAAGGTAAAGGTGCAACTACACACCTGGTTACTCCTCATCGCAGTGGCTCCTGTCATGTTCGAAGTACTCTCCCTGCTGCTGAGTGCATCTCTTCCAGCATTGTACACAAGCAATGAAGTCTTCCTAACACCCATTCTGTGACCCTTTTGAGCAACATCATTATGGCTTGTTGTAGGTCTTCAGTAGAGTTGAAGCAGCAACTGTGAAGGTCCTTCTGCAGCATGGAAAACAGCCAGAAGTCACTGGGAGCAAGGTCAGGTGAATATGGAGGGTGGGGGAGACCTTCCCCTCCAATGGCCTTGATGGTATCCTGTATAACAGTAGTGACATGGGGGCAGATATTGTGGTTTTTTAGCCAAGTGGTGCCCAGCAAATGAGGTCTCTTCTCTCTGATTGCCCTCTGGAGTTTCCCATACAGGGTTGCATTCACTGCAGATCTTTGTTGCTCATAATGCATGAGCAAGATTCCTGCACAATCAAAGAATATGATTGGGATGATTTTCCCCATGATTTTGAGGTGCAGAATATCTTGGGTGGTGGTGATGAAGGATGTTTCCACACTGACAACTACTGTTTTGACTCTGTATCATAACAGCACACATAAGGGCCCATGCACACTGACTGCAAAGAGCTGCATTGTGACCACTGCAACAGTTGCAGTTCATTGCAATAAGTCACATTGAAGATGTGTGGGACCTTCACAGTTGGTTGCAGAACACTTTGCAATGGGATCGGACAAGTAATTTTCGGTCACAGCTTTGCAGTGGTTCATGTTGCTTATGGAATCCTTCGATACTTAATTTTATTTGATTAAGTATTAATTAATAAGAGTTTACACTTGCCCACCTCAATGTCACTGCCACCGTTTGCACTGGGAAAATGCATGGTCTGGAGTTTGTGTCCTGCCCTCTCCTCCAGCAGACCAAGAAGGGTCTAGAACTGCTCAGGAAACATTCTCATGGACAGAGAAGAAAAACTCTCCTTGCCTTCTGTGATAATATTTTCTACAAGAGTTGCAAATTTTCCCATCTGATGATGGGATTTGTGTACAGGATGTGCCTAACACTGTTGAGAGCTTTTCCTCCCTGAAACCCCAAAAATGCAAAAGCGTAGCAGCACAAGTTCTCAAATTATACAGCCATGTTGGATTTTGCTTGGGAGATGCTTTGCAGATGGTTGCAGTCAAGAAATGGCAATGAACTTCGCAGACAGTTGCAGTGTGGCTTTGCTGCAGGTCTCTGCAGTCAGTGTGCATTGACCTTAAATCTCATCAGCAGTCATAATACACTCCAGGAAGTTTTGACCCTCTACCTCAAAATGCCATATTGTGTCCCTGGACACATTCATGTGATTCTGCTTCCATTCAGGCTACATGTGGGGTAATCAGCATGCACAAACTCTGATCTTGTGCAGGTGGTTGGTGAAGATGGTATAGTCGAGTCACTGGGAATTAGGCGAGTTTGACAGGTCAACCCATTAGAGGTCATAAAATGTCAGCTAACTGACAGCCCTAATCTACAGTTTAGAAAAACAGGATTACCACAGGCAGTTTTTTATTTGCAAGGACAACAGAAACGGTCAATATAAAATGTTATGTAATGTCATTCACCCTCTGATGACTATGAAGAGGAATTACAGGGTAGAATGAGCCTCTTTGTCTCCCTGTTGGCATATTTGTCAAACTTCATGTACTGCTGAAGAGAAGACATGTATGGCATCCTTGTCAGAAGGTCACGATTAGATATAATTAGGGCTGTACCGATACAAGAATTTGGCCAATTCCTGTAATTGAAAGATAACCAACACTGGTCTATGTGCATTCCTATGGGATAGGTCTTTTTGCTGAGTTAGTGTACTCAAGATGATATAAACCCTTTCATGGGGCAAATTTTTCCTCAAATGTGCAAAGGATAAATTTCAGTGCATTTTCTTTTCCCACTCATGGAGGCTTATATTTTGAGAAATTTTAGTTTCCCCCCCCCCCCCCCCAACAAAAAAATGTTCATATTTGTGGTGGGAACCTTTCCTGATTTATTATGGTAACCAGTTGATGATGTGCATGTGAAAGAGTGGGAGGAAGCCCTGCCAGGGCACTGGGATCAAATGTTTTCTGGGGAGAATTCTTCCCACTGCCCATGAACGAGTTAACCTGAATTAGGTGCATCAGATCTACATTGAACATAAAGTGAAAAACCTCTACAATGACCTCTTTTTATATTAAAATCATGAGTTTTTCCATTTACTGCACATTTACTGGAAGCAGGTCCATTCAAGGTTTCAGCATTTTCCTTAGAAAATTTCAACAGCAAGGGCTTCTTAGATGATCCAATGGAAATGCAGTAGTTTCTCTCACATGCACCTATGTCCACAGCCACTTAGTAGGAAGAAGTTGTGCTCCTGACTGCACCTAACTTATGGCCACATGCTTTCGTGTTCCATTCCATTCTCTGTAATAAATGCAGATCGGATCTACCACTCTCTCCTTGTAGGAGTTCCCCTCCCTGCTACGAAGTGCTGGGAAATCAAAATAAGAAGAGATGCGATGTGTGTTCAATGCACAAAAAAATTTTTAAAAATCAGAAGATTGACTGGCCAAAAGCTCAGTTTCACTGATTCCATGAAAAATGCCTGGTTTGGCCAATGTCTGTTCTCCGATCTAAGGATTGGTAAAGCCCTAGATAGAATTAATCATTCTTCTCCTCTTCTTCTTCTCCTTCTTCTCCTTCCATTGACCATATTCCCACCAACTTGACTATATGGGCACTTCCTATGGAGACTGGCAGTGCACCAGTCAATTCCTGTATGGTGATTCACCTATTTTCATGCACAACCTCCTAGGTGTGAGTGATCTGTGAAGTGGAAATTGAGGGCTGTCCACAACATTAGTCATTAGCAACAAAGTTCATCCCCTTTTGTAACATGCTACGTCACTTAACCCCTTAACTGGGTAGTTTTTTGCAACGAAATTGGAAGTTTTTTCGCCATCAGCACAGGGTGACAAGAGAGCTCTACTTTTTCGATAATTCTGCAACAACAGGTAGAAATTATGGAACCCTATTTACTGGGAGTATGGATGGGTGTCAGGCACCATGTGCTTATTGGCTAGGCTCATCTTGCCCAGATATATATGAGGATATTTGACTAAAACCTATTGGTGGATTTGCTGATCCAGTATTACTCCATACCAAAACGGACCCTCTCCTTGGGGATGTAAATTTTCCTTGCCATTTCAGTTTTTCCACAAGAGTAGGTTCATTTGGACAATTCAGTGGTTTAGGAGGAATACTGTATACCCTGGAATAGCTTTACAACCTAATCTAGGATGAGGTAAATCTTGAACAGCCTTGGATTGGCATCAGCTTCCAGATCAAAATTATTGTTATTGAAGAACAAAAAAAGAGAGGTCTTTGCCTTCAAATCGCTCTATTGACAAGACTTCTTCAAAGTCTTGAACTTTGAAGAAGTCTTGTCTTACATACTTCATGACATCTCCACGATTCTCTTCTTGCAGAAGTGCATATCATTCATAGACTTTTGCATAATTCCTTGGAGAATTAGTAGACCAATCATAGGTTTTCTCTTCTATCCATTAGTGCCTGCTTGGTCCTTGTCCCATCTACAAGGTCGCAATCCACCATAAGTAGCATATCCTCTTATGTGCTGTTTGTTGTAAAGATAGGTTTGCTCTGCTATATCGACAGCAAGCCCATTGATGAGGAGAGCCTCAAACACATCAATAGGGTATTTTTCGGTCACCAAAATCTATCAGGAAACTATTCTGAACTGAAGATTAAAAGATTTAAAGGGCAGGCATTCCTTGGCCATGTGGACCCAGTCGAAGTAAGCACATCATAATCACCACCTCTGTGAATCTCTGTCCTTGCTTCCATTGTCTCCGCTTACATCATTTGATTTTTTTTTTCATATTCTTCTTCAATTGAATCTTCACTCTTGACACTCAAAAACAAATTAATTAAAGACTAGTGAGTTTTCTTTGCCCTTCAGGCAAACAAACTCACTAAGGTACCCTGGGGGGGGTCTGAATTTTGAAACGCCACATAGCCTATGACCATCCCCAGACCAAATGAAGAAGCCATGCAAAGTTTGGTCTGACAGGGATCAGAGGCATGGCTGTGCATAAAGAATGGACAGACCCACACACAAAAATTCTGAAATATAATAGTGAAGATAGATACTATCTCTATTATGCTCGCCTTCCAGTGCTCCTCTCACACGGTGATATTGCATTTAACAGCTGTCTAATCAGGTAGAAAATACATCCTGATATTTGACAGCTACATGGAAAGGTGAACACGAGTAGCCACATCCTGTCAGAAGGGTGCAAGACAAACCTAAGCCACCCCAAGCGAAAAATTCCCAAAGATACGGAACGTGCTTGTGGAAACGTCTAAAGACGTCCATCCCACCCGTATGCAGTATTTGTGAATGTCTAAAGATGTCTTCCCCAGTTAAGGGGTTAAACACAGTTGTCTGTCAAACTAAATCAACTCTGTATGCTTTGCACTGAAACTCTGGTGAACACAATACTGGATCACATAATGCTGATCTATTTGCAGTGAATCACCTATAACAACACTAAGTTACACACCCTTATGCTAACATGCTCTGAGCTCAACTGTGAGTGCTAATGTTCTACCTGCATCTTTGCAGAGTTCAACCACTATTGCATCATCCATCAATGCAGCATTGCCAACCATTAGCCAAATACTAGGTCCAGGTTGCGAATTTATGGAACAAGTCTAGTGCATGAAAAAACGAGAAAAATCCCAATATCCTTGCCTTTCAATGCTGCGAACTTCAATTTCAGGTCTTTTTGAATTACCCTGCTACTGATAATTCCATATTCCTCTGCTCTCCACACTCTCACCAAAGTGGAAGCACCCTTTGGAATAAGACAATGTTGGCACCTATCTTGCCATCCTTAGAGGCTCACTGCATACAACAGATTAATTCAATCATCTTACAGTCAGAACAGCTTCTACACACTAATTAGCAGAAGGTTTGTAAGACCTTTTAAAACTAATATATGCCTGAAATAGGTCCATCATCAATTGTGACATAGTAGTAGTTATTTGCTATGGTTTCAAGTTCAAAAGGTTCAACTTATGGCAAAAAGAGATGCTAAAAAGGTGCAACTTGTAGAAATATGATTACTTACAAGGTATAACAGGAAGAATGTGCAAAATGTTTGCTTGATGATCCCAAGTCTGAATCAGGAGGATCCCCAGCCAATTTCCACTTTCATCCCTATATCTTCTTATATTCTCCTCTCCTCCTCTGGGGTAGAAGGTGCCTGGAAAACATTAATTAAATAAATTGCTCTGTCACCAGAAATTTCTCTTACAGAAATGACTTGGTGACAATTAGTTCTTCATTTTCAACCATCAAATCTCAATACCCTTCAGCACTTCCATTAACCTCCTCACCCTGATCCACCTTGAAGAAGGCATGCCAGACAGACTTGTGCAACAACACTGCTTAGGTAAAAGCCGTTTTCTGGTTGATGATGAGTTTCTGGTTCATACTTAATGATATCGATGATGTTCTCTGGTACTTTCATGAACCTGAAGGAACATTTCATGAACATTTTGATGCCAATTTTGTAGAAAGATAGCAAGGATGACTTTGCGACCACTGAACATGCAGCCAATGGCTTTAGACATATTAATTCTGAGCATAACACCAAAGGGGTAATTGGTGTGGAGTTTCAGCAAACCCTAAACATTTTTGGGGTGAAGGGGTAAATAAAGTGAGACAGGATGGAACCCAGCCATGAGGAAACTGACCCAGCAGCTTCACATGATTTCCATCAAATTTTTTATGTGACTCGAGTTAATATAAGAGTTCATATGTAGTCTGGATGATTTTAATCAAAAAGTCCATATAGTCACCTCTGGATATTCATTGCTGAAAGCAGATTATTTATTCCTATTGTTGGAATTCTGGAACAAGGAACGGGTAATCAGACTATAGAGTGGGTCATAAATAATCATACCACAAGTAACTTTTTCATATCTGCAGGCCCAAGAAAGGCAACGAAAAAAAAGCTTGGTACATGTCAACATCTCTTTGGCAGTAAATATTTGGTGCTTCAACAGGCCTCCTTCTCTGCATGTGAATTAGTGGATTCATTTCAGCACATCAGAGCAGCTTTTTCAGGTATTTGTATAGGGTTTCTATGAAGTTCTTGACAGATTAAAAAAAAATTAATAACTTTTTATCCCCAAAAAATATAACAAAATAGTGAACTGCTTCACAAAGCATACTTCTAAAAGGGTTTTTAATTACATTTCAGAAGTATACATATCCACTAGATGCACCGTTATAGTGCAAGATGAGGGCAGTAACAAAAGAAAAAAGTGAACTGTGTCTTTTGATTAGCTGAATTGCAATCAGTTACTACAGTGAAACGATGGTTCAAGGCACATTACCACAAAGAACTACTTCCTACTAACACCATTAAGAATTGAAGAAGTTTCAAGAGACAAGATCAGTCATGACAGGAAATGCTCTAGGAGACCATAGCAACTGTTCAGAAAGCATGTATAAGAAGCCCAATAAAATCACTTCACCTCACCATGCCTCACATGAAATGAGCATTCCAGTTTAGACAGTTCAAACAATTTTAAATGTCACACTGGTTGCACATGACTACAAATTTCAAGCTGTTCAGGCCTTACTGGAGGATGATTATGATGCTAGGCTGGAATTCTGTCATTTATTTCGAAGAGATCAACTGAATTTTTGGAACTTTTAATATTTTAAAATGAATATTGCATAGCTCAAGATGGCAGATTTGGGAAATCTATGGATTCCTTTAAAAATAAATGTTAGATTTAGGCTTTGTGAAGCAGCTGAGAATTTTGTTTTATCTTCTACAGGTAGAAATTTATTTATTTATTTTTAAACTGCCAAGGATTTCATAAACACCCTGTATATTCAGCAGAAAGAGACTCACTATGCAGTCAAATATACAAAAATAGTACAAATCACCATAATTGCACAATGAAGGAGCCAACAGAGTGCTTAAAAAAAAAGACTAAAAAGTCCTGGAATCATAGAATTTCTTGTGACATCTATACACTCCAGTTATCATTGGATTTTGCAGACTTCTTTAAAAACAGAAGACTTTTTGTTTTCAATTTGGCCAAAGATTAATTTTTAAGAAGTCAATACTTGAGACACAGTCATCAATTGTGCATCCTTCTCCAGTAAATTAAGATATACTTAAAGGATTTTTCCAAAATGTATTATTTCTTTTTTAAGCAAAAAATGCTGCATTACTTTAAGGGTTAAAAAAAATCCTATAGTGACCTTTCTGACACACCTGGTGATGACAAAAAATGTTGATTGATTAAAATAACCCCATGAGACCCTTGGACCAATATATTGACCAAAAGAACTGACTTTTAAGCACTTGTCTACAGCATGCTTACAGAAAGAATGAAAAGAAAAAGTACTCATACGAGACTCAGTTTCTTCCATCTGGATGAGGACAATTATTCTCTGCAGGTAGTTGGCTGCATCCTGGATTATCTGCAAATGGTTGCCATTTTGCTCCTCATTTCCCAGTTCATTCTGCATGAACACATACAATCATTACTGTCAATTACTGCAACTAAACTGCTACAACAAAAAACCTTGCAGAGGGAGACAAGATTTAATTTTAATTCTTCACAGAGCAATTTGCACTTTTCAAAAAGCATGGCAACAAGTCCACCCAACTTTCTATAACACTAATGGCAGACGATACAGTCTCTCTGGTGTGATCCACACAAGAATGTGGCAATTCATCACTATGATGATGAGTGGCTGAATTGGTTGGAAGGCATTGTAATGCCCTGCTGGGACATTACAATGCCGTCCAAACCACATTATCTACATACATTAACACCATGGGTGATAAGTAAACTCTTTTAACCCCTCAAATGTATGCGATGTCATATACTGTTCTCATGCTGGAGGTGCTGCTGCCTATCAGGAAAGTCACACTTGAGGAGTTAATGCAGGTCAGTAAATCATGAGATTATAAGACAAACAGTAAAGGACTCCATGTCTTCTAGAGGAACCCCTTGGGACTGTTTGATAGGCCTTGTCCATCATCCTTCCCCATCATCCATGTTTGTGCCATCCAGCATTTGTGCTGAAGGTGCAACAAACCTACTTAAGCAGGTATCCTTTTATATTAAAATATTCAGCCAACTTTTGGAGGAGGCAGTTTCAGTTCGCTGCAAAGGATTCATGAAGTTGACTAACACTCCAAATAGAGCTTTACCTTTCTGGGTGAGATAATAATGTATGTCATTTTTCAATACCCTGATGGCATTTTTGTTGGCTCTATTTTTTCAAAAACCTATACTCATCTAGTGGAGAGTTATGAGTGTAGGTGAAGACTCCTTCAGCATTAATTTCTGCAAGCATTTCTAGGGAATTCCTAAAAAGACCACTCCCTTATAGTTACTCAAATCTTCCAGGTCTGCTTTCCCTTATAAAATGGCTTCAAGTGCCTGGTCTTCCACTCTCATATTACCTGCCCTGCTTCAAGGCAGTTGTTGTACAAAGTATTCTAAGCATGTGCAAAGCATGTCAGTGATCCCTTTGCATGCTCATAGACAAAAAAGGAGCCTGAGCCAGTGGCTTCTTGTCAGGTGTGGAGAGGATGAGAGTGGAAACTTCCTCATCAATGAAGGACAGGTTATACCACACTCCTAATCAACTTTGAAGCATGAGCTGAAAAAAATTCCTGAGGTCTTGAAACAAGTTCTCCAGGTTTTACAGAGGAAATGTGATAAGTCCACTCTTAGAGGTCAACAGGACAGCTGTTGAACTTTTCATGTCTAGTAAGGTTCCAAGATTCCTTTTCAGCCTACTTGAGCCCCATCTCCTCCAGGCCTTCCTCATGAAAATTTTTTCTCGTATGTACAATTTCTTGCACCATTTCCTCTTCATAGAGAATAGCTCCCTTCTCTCTGAGTTATGCCTGGTTGCGTGAAACTGGTAACACACTTTTCTTCATAGCAATCTTGGTCATACCATGGTTTCTCCTTCCTCTGTCTATGTTTGACAACTGGCACTGCATTAAGGATAACTTTATTGAGATATAGGAATGCCATGTTCATGAAGATAAATTCATTACAGGGGGACATTTTCATTGAAAATTGCCATTTGAATAAATTGATAAAAACTTGGCTAGGAAACTATTTCAAGATTCAATCTTTGCCAATAATGATTAACTTCCATTTGTAAGATTGAACATAATAACTGGACTAAATATTTTCATATTTATTAACCTGATATGGTTTTACCTACAGTTACATGGTTGTACAAAGCTTACTTCATCCACATTTGCACGACTGGCTCTATAAATACCAGCTAGAAGATTAATGATATTCTTCTATGCACTGATATGGACACAATAGGAAATGATATTACAAAAACATTAATCAAATGATGCATAGGGGAGGGAGATATGCTTTAATAATGTAACTGTGAAATAAGGATGTTGGATAGACAGTGCAGGAAGACAATGGACAGTGACATACCTGCAAGAGAGGCAGTTGTATGAAAGACCCTGTGAAGACAAATGAAAGTGCCTCCAATACCAATCCTCCTGTATTGGCTCTCTTTGTCTCCACTATAACTGGGGGATTCCCAGGAGCACAATGCACCTGATTTGTTTCCAGAAGTTGAACAATTTCCTCTCTTTCCCCCAAGCCATTCCAATGACTAACTTCCCCATCTGGATATATTAAGAGGGAGAAGAGTCACTTGATAGATTCATCTCAGGACAATAGAAAAGTAGTAAATTTCAACACATTTCAATGCATTAATGTGCTCATCATTCACACTTAGCCATCCATTGATGCACTTCTTTATCACAGCTAATCTTCAATCTCACAAGGCCTCCTTCATAGGTACAAACAGGTGAAAGTCAGCTGGTGCAAAGTTTGGGCTGTGTGGGGAGTGCAGTTTTGCATATATTTTTTTTTAATTTGCTCTTGTACAATTTTCAGTATTTCAGTAGACCAGCATTCATTTAAAAAAGCAATCAATAAGCAAAAATATTGGCATGTAGAAAAATTGGGTTTGAATCCCTCCTTTTGTAGCTAGATTCAGTATGGTTTCTACATCAACCCCTACAAATGACAAAATATCTTGGAATACTGCATTCACCTGCTCCAGCTGTCCAGACATATCCCCAGTTGGTGAATTGGTGAAAATTGGCAAAGCTCATCAGGAAGTTCAAATACCTGCTCCACACTTCAATGTTTCTTGTAATTCTGTGCAGCCCCTGCACACCTTCATCATATTCACCTGTGAGATGAAAATCTCTTGTTTCCTTAACATATACCATATAGGCAGGCCATGGAAACTGTCTCAGAAATGTGAGTGCCAATGCCCTCCTCTGAAGTTGTTGGGGATCAGCAAATTCAGCCATGTTACTTAGCATCACCCTCTCTGCAACAATTTCACAAACAGACATTTTATCCAGCCTACTAATCAAGTCACACACAAAGATTATTTCAATCTTTTCACCTCTATGATTCATCAGTAGCTCCCAAATGCTCAATTCCAGTTTTTGAAATGGCTGAACCTCTACATCTTCATATGGGGGGAGACCCTTCTGCTCACGGGATGTGATTGCCCAACCATGTACACAGGACATTATCTTCGCCATTTCTTCCAGCACCACAATTCCAGACCCCAGAATTTCAACCTCAGCTCTGCCCATATCTTCAACACTCCAAATCTGGTAGCATGTTGGAACTCTTGGAACCTGTAACTCAAGCAAGATACACATTGATACAAGCTGGCACCCATATAGAAAGATCATAGATGGCACTTACATGAATTTATATAACACAGATAATAGCATATATTTTTCATGCATTGAAATATGAACATATATACATAAAGGCATATGTGGTTGAGGCATATGATCCATGTAAGAAATACTTATGTTAAACATACTTGGGTAACATATATATACCCTTTAAAATAATTCTGTGGTTTAAGCGATGGGCTCCTGCAGATCTAATATAAAGGGTTTTCCACAAATTAGTTTACTGGGGGATTTGCAGCTATTCTCACTTTAATTTAATTAATGTTACTTGATATTGTTTTTGTTATTAATTGCCATTATTGTTAAAAGTTTTTATTTTATTTCTAGGTGAAGGAAGTTACATGCTTAAGAATTTATTTCTGCCATTTAAATTAATAACAAATATAATAAGAATTTAGCAGAGCTGAAAACCCCTCAGTAAACTGACTTGCGGTACTGATCAAAAACAAAATGCCAAAATAATAATGCCAACAGCCTAACATAATCAATACAGAGAATAGCGTAGGATAAAAATGTTGAACAGCATAAATGTCGAATCCCTTAGCTTGTCAAGCGTTGAATATGCCATTGGTAACACTATCTCGAAAAAAAAGAGCAGAAAATGCCGAAAACCCAGATGGATAGGTGAATGCAAGTTCAAGACAGACAGGAAGATTCAGACTGAAATTCCATAGTACACCAAGGCAAAACCTGTTTTATCACCTCTTTTCTTGCATGTTATGACAGTAGTCTCGTGATAGGAATGGGGTTCTTGACTTAGGCAAAGGGAGGTCACCTATTGCTCATTCACATATACAGTATGTGTTTTGGAAAGACAAAGCGGTGGGGATGGTTTCAGATTGGAAAAATGTGCAGAAGTTGATTGCTGTGTGAGAGCAGCAATAGATGGAATTTCCCTCCGCAAAGAAGGAATCATTCATCCAGGTCATGCTCTGTGCACTGGAGGCAAAGTTGTGTGTGAGACCTATGGAACATGTGACATAACATCCTCATATTTGAGGGCCATCACCCGCAATATGCGTCTCTAAATTTGCAGAATGACAATTAGTTTCCTTGAACTCCCCCCACTTGCTCCTTTTTTTAACTCAGAGTTTATGACATGTGATGACTATTTTTTTGCAAAGTAGATTACTATGTACCATTTAAGACAGGAAAAAAAAGCCTCATTGGTGTTTTTAGCATTTGGCATTTTGTCTTTCTTCATTTTGGCTCTAAGGCAGCGATGCACAACCTGCAGGCCACGGGCCACATGTGGCCCACAGAGACCTTTTTTGCAGCCCCTTGGATGCCTTTGATCTCTAAAGATCCATATTTATATGCAGTCTATTTTGGCTAATGTTCGAGGGCCACAGGCCCTCAAACATAAGCCAAAATCTCAATTTGGTCCTCTAGGGGGGAAAAGTTATGCACCACTGCTCTAAGGTATTTCTAGAATTCCACACTTCTGCAACTAGGCAAATTGGAATTCAGCAAACTGGAATTTAGCATTTCATCATACACCATATGGAAAACCCTGTACAGATGATTGTGACTGACTGACTTGAGTGATTGACATTAATTCTAACCATGTTTTACTGAAGTTAGAAATCTGAAACTTGGTACATAGGTAGCTATTGGGATGCAGAGTTCAGAAAAAATCTGACTTTTGAGGTAAATGCCCTTGGGACATATTTATTCAGAAGGACATTTAAAAAGAATTTATTTTACTGCAGCCAAAGAAAAAGACATGGGAAGCTGAAAATGGACATGAAAATGCCTATAGATGTGCTGATTTCCAGAAAATTCCAATTTTCAGATATGTGCTCTTGGGGCACATTTCTTCAGGGAGACATTTTCAAATTAATTTTTTTCCCTTCAAAGGGAGGGAAAAGAAAAGCTGAAAATGAGCATGAACTTTTATGTTAATTTCTAGGAAATTTTCACTTTAAAGATATATCTCTGAAGGCTTTCTTCTTTTTTTTTGATGGGAGAGAAGTTTTCATATAAATTTCTTGGCTCTAGTCAAATAAAAGGACATGGAAAGCTGAAACTAGAAATGAAGGAGGTTACTGATATGCAGATTTCAAAAACAAAATTTTACTTTTCAGATATTTCCCCTCCTGCCATATTTCATTTGGTACATGTTTTTACTGGGAGAAATGAACTCAAAGAAATTCTTAATTTTGACATACATGCATTCAGGGCATATCTTTTTGGGGGCAAAAAGTTCCCCGAATTTTTTGCTTCAATGATATGGCGTAACAAGGAAAGCTGAAACTTGGTATAGCAGTACCTGTTGAGATATAGATATAAAAGGAAATAATATTTTTGGGATACATTCTCCTATGGCAATTATTTTGTTTTTAGACATTCCCTCTGACACTTTCTTGTCCCAGTGATATGGAAACCAAGGGGGCTAAGAATGCATTACAGCAGGGGTGTCAAACTGGCAGCCCGCAGGCCGGATCCGACCCACCTGTCCATTTTATCTGCCCCGCAAAGTCCTCTTCAACAGTTGGTTACAAAAAAGTACTGCAAATTTCAGCCTCTTTGCAATAAAGATTAGGTGTTACATTTTTATTGTGGCCCCTAATCACCCTTGAAGGCTTCCATCCTGCCCCCAGCCTAATCGAGTTTGACACCCGTGTTACAGGCAGTGTTCCAAACTCTTGGAACACTTGAAACTTAGGGAGGAGTGGATCGCTTGCCATGAGAAACTATTTCTAAGGAGAGTGCACTGATACCTTTTTTTTCTTCACAGTTTTCTTGTGGAAATGCCAGTCCTGGAACTTTTTGATAGGCCATCGTATGATAGACAATATTTGGTCCCACGCATCAAATAGGCCAGTTTCTCATGAAATCATACATGTAATTTCCATATGGGCATGCTTGCAAGTAGACATCAACATAGGCAATGCCTCCGCCATGTAAGACTTCATCAAGCCAGGCTGCATCTTCATGGGGAATGACTTTTTTCTTTTTATTTCTCATAGCCAATGTTAACTGAAATCAGACTTATGGAGCAGCAGATTTGATGCATCCAATCCTTCTAGGAAATCCTGTATATACTCATTAGTCCTAATCCCTAGCCATCATCCTAACCTGTCACCCTTACTGGCCCAGTAGGACATGAAAAAAAAAGGAACATCTTTTAATGGAACCTGTCAGAGAGCAAGAATTAAAGTAAGATGAGAAATCCTCATCTATGACACCTGCTTTACTTCTTTCACCTGAAGTCAAGTGAGACACTTTTGACTGACTTAAGTCTTTCAATATATCCAATTCCTTCTATGACCTCATCATAAAATGTTCATATCATTTTGCTGATCATGAGGCCAAGAGATGATTTTGCTCACTCACTCTGTAATTGCTTGCCATCAGTGGATGAGAGAGTTCCATCAAACATCAGCACAAAAACACCTGAATGGGCCTGAAAAAAAAATTCAAATGAAATAATATTACTTTTTCCAGTAATGACATCCAGCTTGACTTGCAAATGTCATACATGTGTCAAAGCCTATCTCACAATATTGAGTGGATTCAGAAAGTAACAAAATCTTCATTAAAAATCTTTAACTGAACTAACTTATGTGGTTCTAGCAAGATGGTGGATAGTATACCTGTTTAAAGAATGCAATCGTATTTTTATTGGTAGTCAGCTGATGCCAGCAAAATCATATTTGGCTGAAACAATAACAAACTGCCAACCTTTGATGAGGGTGATTCAGGCCTAGAATCAGGAAGGGTGGATTAAGTGGATTGTGTATTCCCCTTACACAGCAATTAGTAAGCAACTTCAGACTTGCTACCTATGAAAGCAGATGCTTTTCAGCCATGCATTTATGGGACATTGGGATGGATAAGTCTTTCCTGAAAAGCATTTGCCTAGTATAGAAATGTTCACAAGATTATATCCATAGAGCAAGAAAGTAGAAAGGAAAACAATCGTGTTTAAGGTGTCTATTCTGAGTCATATCCAAACAGTAAGAATATTATATGTAAAAAGGGTTGGGAACAAGAAACCAGAATAATAAAGAACCTGGATTGCTCTTTCTGGAAAATGCAAAGACAGAGAAAATGACGATTATTATGGCTCTGTGAGAGCTTCCCCACTGGCACCTGATGAACCCTGGCACTCATCCATCATACAGTAGAGGAATTCAGCTGATAAAGTTTATATCGTCCCATTTTATGTTTATTCTACTCCATAATCTGTTCAAGAAGCACTTTCTGAAGCAGGGACTCCACCCATATTTTATGCACTCGACTGTTACAATAGCAACCAATTAGTTGTCTAATTGTAGCAGATATCAAAGCAAAAAATTGCAACCAGTTTGCTCTGCGCATTAGGTGAGATTGTGAACATTTTCCAATCCAAAAGTTGAATGAATGACATTTTAAACTCCATTTTACCCCCCTCCCAAAAAAAAAAGGGAAAGCCAACTCAACAGTCATCACTCTTCTCACATCTCCATTTCTTGTGTTATCCTCAAGCAACTTCTTCTTCATGAGATTCCATTTACTCCATTTTCTTTTTCTCAAGAATATTCTCCCTTTCACTCTCCAGAGTTCTGCTTCTGCACAATTTCAAGTCATATATCTGTAATGGTGTGGGTTTGTTACTTTTAGAATAAAAAATAAAAGGGTCCTGCATTATTGGAGGCTATGCACCAGCACAAGAATTTAGAAGAAACAGGTTCCTCACTGTCTGAATGGAGCTGTGTGAAAATCTTTACCCCATTGCATATCAATTTTGGCGTGTTGGCTGACAAGACAGTGGAAGTAGTCATTCAGCATTAAGTCCAGTTGAATGTGCTTGAACAAAATTTGCAATAGAAAAGCAAACAGCCCAACAACTACTGGTACTCTTCCTCAGAAAACTGGCCTGAATGCTAAGGGTAGGCCAAATGCCACAGTCTTGAATGCTTTGCCGCTAAGTTGGGACTTAAGATTGCGCTGGTTCTTACCCAGTAATTTCCTCAATAATTCCAGCACATGGGCCAAGAATAAAAGCTTCTTCTAACTAGCTAGCTTCATAACTAGAGTTTCATACTGAGGAAAACAGTATAATTCAGCAATTGGGCACATCTTGGAGACAAAGATCCAAAAGGTGTCAAAGTAATTTCCTCAGTGATTTCTTCACATAGGTCAAGAATAAAAGCTTCTTCTAGCTAGTTATCTTCTCGTTAGACCCTGACGTCAACTGTGTCCTAGGTCCTATGGTACGATGATTCCCGAAGCATTAGAACAACCAATTGCTTTTAACTTGCAAGTCCGTGATGTTCCTTATTACTTGAACTGTACTTACTTCTTGAACAGTTTCTAGTGTCCCTCAAATGTCAAGGAAGTTCATTTTTTTTGCCATAAAGGATGACATCTTGCTTGCAAATGACAATGAAAACCAAGTCCATGTGTGGGTAAGCATCATGTATATAATTTGTCAAGCCAGAGGTCAGAATTTATAAAGCATACAGAAAAATCATTCTATATAATGTCCAGAGGACCAATTTCAGGATTACAATATCTTCCCAGTGTATTTGTAAAGTGAATTTCTCCAATCAGGCTCTGAATCAGCCTTTAACGAGTCTAAATGAGCCGAGCTTGCTTCAAGAATTTCTCAGAAAAGGGCGAATTTATAGCTGGCTAGTCAATATGAAATGGAGAAGAGAGTCAAATGATGATAAAAGCCCTGTCTATTTCAGTTGTGCAGAGACCAATGGTTAGAAGTCAGTTTTATCATCGAGAAAAAGCAACAGAAACGTAAAAGGTACAATATCCAGATCGAGGGAAAGTACAATAGATTTACTCCTATTTTGGCTAAGATCAAAGATCGCTGGGTACGTTTTCCCACTTTCGGAGGGTCGTTCAACCTTCATGGGTGTTCCAGGATAAAAGGCCCATATCTTGGAATAAGTCTTTAACATAATCAGGCAAAATGCGGTGGAGACGAACATGAAGCGATGTACACAGCATGTGACATGGGCTTTTGGGATGTAAAGGGTATTCCTACGTTATGTGCACACTGCGCACACTGTGCGCACACCCCCCACTTGCGCCGATTATATTATGGGCAAACAATGCCTAGACGCATGTATATATGGAGGACTGCTATATTTCACGTTTCAACATGCGTCTAGCGACAGACCGTCGCCGACCAATCAGAACGCAGCTTCTGTCCTATGTCACAATCCGCGAAGCTAATATTATTTTACCATTCTTTTTACTTTTTACCCTTTCTCTTATGCCCAAGCGTCATGGATAGATCTAAACAGTGTCCAATTTGTGACAAATTTATAGCCAGAACTTCCTGGTATAGGCATACGCGAAATGTTCATGGTGTGGAACCTGAAACAAAACAAGCTTCCATCAGCTGTTCATATGAGTTGATTACAATAACCTTGGCTGAGTCTTTTAAATTGACTGAATTCTGTGAAGGATCCAAAACCCGATGAAACGTCAAACTACTTCTTTCTTTTTCTATTCCCACCTGAAAAATATTTTAAATTCTCCCTTTACTGAACTGAACATTACTCTTATTCAAATACCAAAAGTCTAAAAGTGGGAACTGTCCATTTAATACAAAAAACATGAGAATAAAGCTTTCTTAGTAGGTAAGAAAAGTAATAATAAAAAAAGGGCCATGGGCCCTTTCATCATTTCATGGGCCAAAATTTGAATTTGCCAAAACTGAGCTCATGTTTTTCCTTGTTTATGGAATAGAATGTCACACATTTAATAAAGACAGTAACATGAACAAAAACGCTTTTCCATGCTAAATGCCTATATACAGTACATAAAGTTGCTATAGATGTTTTAAAAAAAAGTCCCCTCCTGCTGAATTTGAGGTACAGGAACAAAACATGACAAACCATTAGGGTATGAATAATTTCATTTCAAGAATTCAAACATTGAGAGACACAGTACACAAGAAAAATCACTGAAAAGTGTTCTTAATTCTAGTTCATGCATAACAGGGCATTGAAAGCCCACCATCCATTAAATCACTTTCATATTCTCCTCAAATAATTTTCAGTCATACTACTGGAAAGGGTGCTTCTTTTGGCTGGAGATTTAATACACTAGTAATTAACTCAAGTTATTGTTTGTTTGGAATAATTATAAGCCTATTTCTATTTTATAAGTCTCAGTTATACCTAATGAGGACTCAGTAAACTTATTTGCTGTGCATACTTAAAAAGAAGCTAAACTGCACCTGAAATTTTAACTAATATGAATGACATGAAATATTAATCAATATAATCTATAAAATATAATCAATAATCACAGCTGGGCTGGTACTAAGTGGATCGGACTGTTCTAGCTTGAATCCTTTCTTTTTGCTTTGCAGATTCAGATTGTCAACAAACATTCACCAACATATCCTCCCTTCGAAGTCATCTGAATGAAAATCATGCAGATTTTTCTGAACAATCCGAACTTCATCTTTGCTTCCAATCGTCTGATGGTTAGTCTTCTGTACTAGCCTCTATCTAAAATTGTTATCTCTTACTATGTTATCTCTAGCATTGTATAACAATTCAAGTTCCAATTTTCTGTGCTTGTTTTCAGATCTGTCAGAAGTCATCCATTGCTGCAATATATGACATCCTTCACGCTCAACCAGACCTCGTACTGTTTCCCAGAATTAAGTGCCCTCTGAAAGGTTGCTACTTTGATGACACAGAGGCTCTCCAGGCAGCTATGACCAATGCATTTAAGGAGGTTGCCAAAAATAGGTTACATCCAGTGTTCCAAGCTCATTACAAAAATTGGGAGAAGCACATCGTAATTCAAGGCAGCTATTTCAACAAGAATGAAACTGAAAACTAACTTCTGTGCATAATTTTTCCTATGAAGGCTGATTCTGGAACTTTTTTGGTGGAATAATATATATCAGACAAGGCCATTTACTCAGCAAGTGCCATTGTAAATGTAACGATGGAAGCCTTCATAATAAGGTTAAATACTGCAATTTCAACTACAGCAATAATGCTCTCCTATGGATGACTTTTTTTCTTGCATCC